CAACCTGCCTTGTAGGTCTGCCTCATGGCGGGGCCAGGGGCCCGACGCCGCTTTTGTCCCTCGGAGGCAGGCAGGCGACGTGTGGTAAATGAGAGCGCGGCCCCTTGGTAGCCACTGCCCAACTGACTCTCTCGTGAGAGCCTTGGGGGAGCTCGCGTGCCCGATGCTGTTTTGTGGGCAGCTTCAGACTGCCTTTGCGGAAGGTCACGAAGTTGGTACGTCGGAGGTACGCACTGCCGTGAAGAGCAGGGTGGCTGCGGGGACCGGCAGTGCAGCGAGCAGGAGAGGAGGGCCTCTGCGCTGGGAGGAAGGAGCTGTGTCCTGCGGGGAGCGAGGAGCCAAGCGGGGGGTGCGATACACACAAGGGCACCTGGGGCCGGGAGAAGAGTTGCTTTGGCACTGAGGATCTGTAGGTGGGCAGTTGGCTTTTTTTTTTTTTTTACCCCCCTGCTCAGGATCTTGACTAAAAGGGGGTAGCAAAGCTCCTGGCTCATCCTTTATCGGTACTGACCATCCCTTTCCTGACTCTCCACCTGTCTCTCATGTGCCATGTCTCCATCTGCTCCTGGCTGCAGCTCTTCTGCCCTGCGCCTCACAGCTCCCTGCAGCGCGGGCCCCCACCCCAGAGCGACCTTCTGCCCTGACAGGACCAGAGCCTAGTTTGATGAACATTTCCTTCGGTGGCGGTGCCAGCTTCAGCAGTCTCTGGTGTTCGTTTCGGGTCTCTGTCTGCCTTCCGTTTCACAGCTACAGCGCTTTTTACAGCTGCGCAGTGAACCGGATCAGAGAGCTGATCTGAGGAAAAACGGTTTAGCCCCCAAAAAGGTTATTTTAAGGGAAGATTAGTTGTCTAAACCCACTTGCTGTGCAGTTCCAAAGACAGGTGACCTGTTGTATCAGAAAGGAGGGTGTAGCAGTGGGAATAAGCAGAGGGGAAGAGGATCTTTTTCTTTCCACAACTGAAAAAGGTAGATTGTCAAACTGCACTCTGAAGTAGCACATAGAGAGAGGATTTTTGAGAGCTGCTCTCCACATTGAAGTCACAGTGAAAGGATATTAGAAAAGAATAGAGGAGAAAAACAAAAAAAAACCCAAAAAACCCTTTCTTCAGCTTACCTTGAGCCATAGTGAAACAGCCCGAAACCAGGCAGCTTTGATTATGAAGGGAGCACAGAGACCATCCCTCAGTAAATATTCTCCCGTTTTTCCTCTAATACAAGTTGTGTGCATCTTGTAAAGAAGACCAGGGCTGTTCAGCCTCTGCAGGGACAAGGCAGGCTGGGAGGGAGGCAGCGCTGCTGAGAAAATATGAGGGGTCTCGTACACCGAAAGCTGTTGAGGAGGGGAGATACCTGAAAGACAAGGGGAGGCAGGGCTGGCGGCTGAGGAGCGCGTTCTTGTTCTGGTGAGACTCTAACTGTGTTCCTTGCATGCAGTACTCCTTTCAGGACAAGGGCTGGGGAGCGTCACTTGCTGAGAGACTAGTCAGGTAAGAGCTTAGATTTTTTTTAAAAGTAATTTTTAGCATGAAAGAAGCCATGCAGCTGTCTTAAAGTTGAAGAAAACTAGCACAAATTAATTCTCTTGATTTATTTACTGACATTACTAATAACATTACTAATAACTAACATTATTTATTTGTTTATTAGCATGGACTGCCTAAGTGGTATCCCACCTGTTACTGGTGGAAATACTTATTGGAGGCTACTGCAAAGATCAAGTGGAAAGAAAAATTCCTTCACTATCAAATTATCGTTCTGGTTTCATAGTCTGACACATTAATACTGTACATTAATACTATGCTATACTCTGAGCGGACACTTTCAAAGCATAAAATTGTGATCCTACTGAATTCTCCCGTGAAATCTCATTGATTCCGAGTGGGACAGAGGCAGGTGTCCTGACTGAATGACTCGAAACATCTAAAATTTTGTTCTGATGGGGAGAGATTTTCTTTTTGATCTGTGTTTGTTTCAGAAAATGTGATGTTGTAAATCGTGGATTCTCAGGGTACAATACAAGATGGGCTAAAGTGATCCTTCCGAGATTGATCAGTAAAAGTACTAGTGCTGAGAGTACTGTTGCAGTTACTATTTTCTTTGGAGCTAATGACAGTGCTTTGAAAGGTATAATTTTCATTTTTTTCCATCACCTCTTCTCCTAAGAAAGTTTTACCTTTTAGCAGAAAAGATAGAACGTTACATGGACTGGTTCTTGGTTCTTTTCTATGAAGTGGTTGTTCGTTTTTCATTTTTATGGTTAATTCTTTTCAATTAATCCGTGTGTGTGTGTTTGTTTAATTATGCACTGCCTTCTACTTCTCTCTCTCTGATCGTGTTTTAATGGTAAATATAGATTTCAGGGGGCCCAAGAACTAGTCGTGTATCCAACACTTAAAATTGGAGTTGGGCACCTGGCTGCTGTTTCTGCCTTTGAAATAGTCTAATGGATTGTGAGCAGATAGATCGAGAGAAGGGAACAAGGGAATATCGCATTTGGATTCTCTTAAAGATGTGCATACCAGTATGCACAGCTAGTCTAATGAAAATGATAAGATCAGTGCATGAAGGACTGGTTGTAGAATATGTCTGGATGCAGAGAACATTTTGGAAATTCAGGAGAGTTAAAAATCTTAGTTTTTGTTTCAGATGAAGCTTGAGATAATTACGTGATTTAATGATAAGATGTGGAGTTCTAAGAAAAAACATCTTCCAAAAAAAAGAAAAAGTGATTTTTTTTTCCCCTCTGCTTCATTTGTATTAGTTGCAAATGCTGCATTTTAAGTCTTGGTTTGTCTGCTTTGGATGTTGAGATACTGCATTTTCCCAAAACACCTCCTGAATTCATGGTTGAGGTGAACTCTTTACTACCAAAAGTAAGAAGAGTGCCCATGTTTGTATCCTGTGTAAAAAGCATATTAGTCATTGTGTAACAAATCTGTGAGCAGCTTGGTTTTATATGAGTAATGTATTTGCCCCATTCCCTAACAGATGTGAACCCCAAGCAACATGTTCCTTTGGAGGAATATGCTGCAAACTTAAAGAGCATGATACAGTATCTGAAATCAGTAGACATTACTGAAGACAGGATTATTTTGATAACGCCACCCCCTCTTCAGGAGTCAGCTTGGGAGAAGGAGTGTCTTGCTAAAGGTAAAAGAACGATACCAATTTAACAAAGTTTCTGCTTTCTACCCCAAGAGAGTGTAAATTACTGATCCCAGACTGACAGATGACTAGCTTTGTATTTGTGCCAGATTGCATTTGTGTTCTATGAGTTGATGGAAAATGACTGCTAGCTGTTTTGCTAAGCATCTCTCAGATATGCTTGTGGAGTAACTAGCAACTAATTAATAACATCCTTTTGAAAGTGCTGTGTTGATTGATCTGCTCCTGCATAAAACTGATAGAAGTGGCTGTCTGTTGCGAAAATAGGATTTGTCTCAAAAAATGGTGTCTTGGAAATAAGTTCAGAGCTCTCAGAAAGGAATCTAGATGTCCTAGGCAGACAACACCATGTCCGAGCAGCTTCCAAAATAACTTGAATAGTGGAGGAGATTTTGGCATTGCGTGTCTTAGAAAATTTTCTAATGATTACAGTATATTTCACATCTGCTCGGATAAGCAGTAATATCCTACCTCATTTGTGGCCAAGAAGGCCAATGGGATCCTGGGGTGCATGAGGCAGAGTGGGGGTGTTATCCTCCCCCTCTCCTCAGCCCTGGGGAGGCCTCGTCTGGAGTGCTGTGTCCAGTCCTGGGCTCCCCAGCACCAGAGGGACATGGCACTCCTGGAGAGAGTGCAGCGGAGGGCTACCAAGATGATGAGGGCACTGGAGCACCTCTCCTCTGAAGAAAGGGTGAGAGAGCTGGGCCTGTTGATCCTGGAGAAAGGAAGAGTGAGAGGCGATCTCATCAATGTGTATAAGTATCTGAAGGGGGGGTGTCAAGAGGATGAGGCCAGTCTCTTCTCTGTGGTGCCCAGCGACAGGACGAGAGGCAACGGGCACAAACTGAACCACAGGCAGTTCCATCTGAACCTGAGGAAAAACTTCTTCGCTGTGAGGGTGACTGAGCCCTGGAACGAGCAGGTTGCCCACAGAGGCTGTGGAGTCTCCTTCCCTGGAGATATTCAAAACTCGTCTGGATGTGATCCTGGGCCATGTGCTCTAGAGGTCCCTCCTTGAGCAGGGAGGTTGGACTAGATGATCTCCAGAGGTCCCTTCCAACCTCAACCATTCTGTGATTCTGTGATTTTGTTATAAATTAAAATCTGAAGAGGGAGTATCAAAGTCTAAGGATTCTAAGTACCCGAAAAAGAAGAAAACAGTGACTGAATGATTTCTCATTACATTGTACAAACTAACTCTTAGAATAGACACGTAACAACACCGCTTCCTTTATGTTACCCAGCTGGTGGAAATTGCCATAATCCCACTGACTCCAGCAGTGACAGTTTATACCCTCTGAGAGTGTGTCATCTTTTCCATTTGAAAAGTTTGTTCAGTTTTTGCATGTTTACAGAGGATTTTTGAGTTAGATTTGGGTAAATAGAGAGGTGTCACCTTAGTATTTGCAAGGTTTTCTCTATTTTAGTGCATGTCCTGGGTTGTGTATTCAATCAGAGCAGTAACATTCTGAGCATGACCACATGTTTAAACTACCTTAAAATGGATTCTTCCTATTACTAAGGAAAGCAGTTCCCTACCATGGACACCTTCCATTCTAGTCACTAACCACTGGATGGCTTTCACAGCTCAATTTGCAACTCTGAATCTTCTGTAATTGCATGCAGATTTCTAGCTCTTCATGTGTGTAGTTCAGATATAAAACTCAGATAGCTGCATCTGTACATTCTCATCATGGAAAAATGTCTGGTGTGTTATTTTTGCTGTACATGACTGTGTGCATAAATGGAGGAGAGTGAAATGAAGTTGTATCCATATTTATAGTTTTTGATTTAGAGTCTTGTAATGAAACAAAATCGCTGTTTCCTACTATTAAGAAACTATCCCTGCCATTATGGTATTGCCTGATTTTTCCATTCTGGGGCATTGTACTTCACTTTCAAATGTGTTGCAAAGATCATTGTCCAAATCAGGTATTGAACTGTATGGACTTTCAGTCTGATCCAGTAGGGTAGCTTTTATATTTGAGTTGCAAAATGGGAGAAAGTCCTGAAGTAATACTCACTTATAAATAGTGTAAGATCATAACAACTGCAGTAGGTCAGATCAAACATGAGCTATACCCAACACTGTATTATGTGACAGTATGCTTGGATAGAGCATAACAGGTAGGTTAAGCATAGAGCAGTCTTTCCTAGTTTGTGTTCTCAGCTTTTGCTAAAGCTATTATAGCTGCAGTTTGCAAAACTCATACCCGTATAGTCTATTTGAAGGTCTGTCCAGTAAGCATACTATGAATGCTGCTTATCTGGCCTCTAGTTATCAAAGTATCACTTTTAATGTTATTAGATCATTTTAGTCTTAAAAGTATCGTATTTATGGGGAAAGGAAGAAGGAAACTGGCATTTAGAATGGTGGATTCTTCCAGGGTCTGTCTGGAAGAGATCGCTGGCTAGGGATGGAACAAAAGACATGGCCAGTTTCAGAGAGCCGACTATTAAAGTATTGTCGGCAGAGTAAGCGGTAAGGTCAGATCAACAGGTGTCAACCAGTATTCAGGAGAAGTTTTCTGTTTATTTTTGTTTTCGTCAGATAGATGCTAGAGCAAAGGAAGGATGTGAAACATGAGGATGCTGATGTTCACAGGAGCACTCATCCAAGTGTGAAGGGAGACTGAAAAGAGCTTGACTGAAGATTTAACCTGCCTGTGAGCAGGGACGCAGGGAGAATGGCTGGGGTACTTGCTATCATAGGTTCTATTATTTCCTTCATCCAGGAAGGATGTCAGAGATGGACTGAGCTGATTTGCCAAAATTAGACAAGTCTAGCAGAGAAAGGAAAAAAAAAAGAAATTAATCACGTTGAGGCCACACTATGTTCCACTGTTTCAAAGCAAGCCCTGAATATAAAACAAACACCTCACTTTTAATTGCCAAAAAAAAATTAATAAAATTAAATAAAAATTAAATTGTTTCAAATTCTCCATGCCCCTCCTATCAAAACTTTTCACCTGTTTTGGACCTTTTAGGAGGCAGAGGGCGTTCTTGGGATGAGAAGATGCTATTTGTCCCTGCTCTTAGCTTGTAGACCCAGCATGTGCTCCTGCAGAGCTGCAAATTAAGAGCAGGAGTGTACTGGTGAGCTTCCGGAATGGAAGAGGTAGCGAACCAGGAGAGAAACAATCCTAACAATGAAAGAAAAGGTAAGGGGAGACTAAAACATACCAATTCTCATAGACTAAAAGTCATAGAGGGAAAAATGACAGGACTGCTGCATGATACTGAGAGCGGTGAGATTGTGATCAAATGCAGGAAACGTGGCAACAGCAGGAGCGCTGCGCAGTGGAGTTCAATGAACTAAAGGGCCTCTCAATCTACAGGAAGGTTAAACGAGGGAGGGAGGTAGTTGAAGAAGGCAAGAGTTAGGAAACATACACAGAGGGGAAGGATCAATAAGGCTACAGAGGATATTTTTATGATGAAAAGAATGCTGATGGCGGGGGGAAGAGGTGGCAGTGTGAAGAAGTGAGAATCATCAGATGCATTGGTCTTCCTAAGGAAAGAGCAGAGTAGGAGTTGATGAATTCTGCCCCAGTGTTTCACAGAATCACAGAGTGGTTGAGGTTGGAAGGGACCTCTGGAGATCATCTAGTCCAACCTCCCTGCTCAAGGAGGGTCCTCTAGAGCATATTGCCCAGGGTCACATCCAGACGGGTTTTGAGTATCTCCAGGGAAGGAGACTCCGCTACCTCTCTGGGCAACCTGGTCCAGTGCTCTGTCACCCTCACAGGAAAGAAGTTTCACTGCACGCCATGCAAAAGTGGTGATTTACAATAGCTAGCATTGAGCACATACTGAACCCTCAGCTCCCAGTATAACTGCGCTCACAAATGTTGCATTCCTAATTTCTAATAATGCTTTGGACTGAAATGTACTGTGGTTTGACATTGTCACCAGCATTTTACAAGGGGGAGACTAATGCAAGGAGTTGTCAAAGGTCTGATGTCATTCAGGAGATGGAAGGCAAGGTTGTGAAATTGGCTTATATTTACTTAATTCTATTCTACATGTCAGTAGCAGGTATATAAAGACTTCACCTGAAGCATAACAAAAGGCTGTGCAGCATGGAAATCAGCATTACCCTGTGGGCTTGGTCCTGTTGGCTCTGCATTTCTCACCTGATGAGATGCATTTTCAAATGCCTCAGAAACGAAAGGTGCTTTTTAAAGGGACTCAATGAGCCTCCAGCCACTTAAATTACGATAGCGCAGACTATAATTGGTTATGGCTGCTGGTTTAACAAGTTGATAAGCATCATCTATGCCACAGAAGCGTGAAATCCATCAAGTCTTGATCATGAAATGTTTTCTTCTTGTCTGCTTGACAGGTGACAAATTAAATCGCTGCAATTCCACCACTGGCCAATATGCCAACGCCTGTGTTCAAGTAGCTAGGGACTGTGGAACTGATGTAGTGGACCTGTGGACACTGATGCAAAAAAATCAGGTATGATGTCCCAAGAGAGACTTTGAAACAGTCAAATGCATGATTTAGTGTAAAGGAACTGGTAGTACTGCATTACCACTGAAACAATGCAAAAATATATCCAAATTACCTTTTGAGGAAGGAAGAAAATAATCCAAATGCTTCCTACAGCACTTTAATACAACCTGACCATTAGATTTCGTTGGCAAATGTCTCCTGGGTATATTAAATGTAAATAACCTTTTGCTTGGACTTTTGAGTCATGGAATAGTTTAGATCAGAAGAGACCTCTGGAGGCATCTAGTGCAACCTCCTGCACAAAGTTGGGCTCACTTCAAAGTCAGATCAGGCTGCATGAGGCTTTCTTTCTAATGCTTGTGACTGAATTTCCAAAATCATCTGTGTGACAGGGTCCACACCTTGCCCTTAAGCAGATAACTCCAGTTAGGGCACTATGCATTTTTGCTGTCTATTGCACAGTAGACTCAGTATTTTGATTGTACTACTTCATCACATGCTAGTTTCATAATGATTAGCAGTGACTTCGGTCACTGGAGCACGCTCAACATTTTACTGCAAAGGGAAAAAAAATAAAAACAGTATATTTACTAATTAGTTTTGAAGAATTTAAAAATTAGTCAAGCGCTTCTATTTATAAATAGCAAATACATTCATACATGTTTTAATTGCCCCCTTAGGATTTCTCCTCCTATTTAGCTGATGGGCTTCATTTATCAGCAAAAGGCAGTAACTTTCTAGCAGCACAACTTTGGTCATGCCTGGAAAAAAAAGTATCTACTCTTCCTTCACTGCTTCCTTATTGGCGTGATGTGGACCATACGAACCCTGAAGTTAGCCTTCTACAAGACGCTCCTCAGTAATAAGCTGAAGAGGCCAAGTCTCCTTGACAAAGCAAGTCTGTTTCCATCAAATTGTATCCAGCAGCATACTGGAAGAATTTCATACTTGGGCAAAGTGGGGTAACAATGAGTCTCCCGTCAAATGCTGTTTCGTAGTCTCCCTGTCTGGTCTGTGAGAAAAATAAAGATTAAGACTTCGCAGTGCTTCCTCTGGGCGTTCTTTCTGCATCCTTCTTGTGCTAACAGTTTAACAGGTCTGTTAATGAACTCCACTTTCCTTAGAAGACTTGGAAGGTAGAGTCTCTGCTGGTCTTTAAACAGGAGAAAGAGGCTGCCTCAAGGAGTTACTGGCCTAGTTGAGCTTTGGTGACTACAATTTGATTAATGTATTCCACTATCTTTAAACAGCTAGAAGTTAATAAGTAGCAGCAACATCAAGTGCAATTAAGGTCAATGCGGCCTTTCTTTGACTGTATTACTGACAACCAGTAAAAGCATTTATTTGAACTCTGTGAGGATTTAGGTAGTGCTGATAGTTCAACTCAAGGCCTTACTTGGGCACCTGCTGACTGTATGCCTGGCTCTTGCATATAGATGCTGTGTTCAAAGCAGTACATGTATTTGCACAGTATTTATGGCATTCCCAACACACAAGCGGTGATGCTTATGCTCAGTTTGAGAAGTTGGACTCTTGATGAAACTCCCAGAAGGGGGTTTGCACCACTGCTAAAAAAGCTTTCTCATAAATAATTAGACTGTATGTTCATCCATAGTTTAACAACTGATACAGAAGACGAGGACATACATACTTCTATTATTTTTCAGCCAAGAGAATGCAATTAGAATATAAAACGGTCTTGACAAACCAAAAATTGCCTGAAACCAAGATGAAATTCAACAAGCATAGAAGAAGTGGGTTTGGGAAATAATTGGCTAGCCAGCCATATAGCAGAAGAAATGAGGCTACTATCAGAACATGGATTAAAGAGAAACGCATAGGACGTCACTGAAAAAAAAAAAACAAAAAACACCATAGTTCTGGGCTGTATTGACATCACAGAATTAACACTGAAGAAAAACAGCTGAGGCCACTAGTAAGGCCTTAAGGGATACCTTACATATTGGGTGAAATGGAGACTGATGTGAGATCATCACGATTTCATGCTTTGTACAGCACCAAGAGACCAACTGCCTTTGCTCCTTTAAAGGAGACAAATTGGCCAGGACTTGTCATCCATTATAATATTGTTATAAACTGGACAGTAATTAGTTATTCACCATGTCCTTGGAGCCAAGCCAAAAGCTAGTTTGCTTTATTTACAACTATTAAACTGGAGTGCCCTTTCTGTAATAACGTCTTACAATAAAGAATGGTAGTGAAATAGGGCTTCCTCTGGAGGCTGTGGAACTTCCTGCTGTAGATGTTTAAGAACAAACTATGCAAGTATCTATTTTGACAATTTCTAGACCACAGATCAGACTAGAGGATGGATTACATGATCTCTTAAAGCCTGCTCCAAACCTGTATTTTCAGGCTCCCAAATAAGTGCCAATGGCCGATTTTAATCTGGGAGGCAAGTACACGTTATCACTATTAAGGTCGTTATAGATTTGCTACATAAAAAGGCATTTGAGCAAGCACTAATTAATACCTTAGATGGGAAATTCCCTTCAGCATCAAAGTCATAAACACTGTCCATATGACATGCGCAGTGAGACCACTGTTCTCCATTAGCACACCAGGCAGCCCTATAGGTGCGGCTCTGTAGAGCAACAAACCAGCGGCTGCTCAGAGCTGGCTGCAGCAGGAACTGGATTTCAGAAGGCGGGGGCAGCTACTTCACACTGGCCCTAGTGTGTCCCTGCAGCCCGAGGCACTGCTGGACCTACCTCCCAGGCTCACCTCGTCCCCAAGGAAGCCAGTGTCTGTGCTCCAAGACGTCACCAGGCTACAAACCAACGTGGGATGAGGGGGGCGACAGGCACGCGCCCTTCAAAAACGCACTCCTGCAGCAGCACAAACACAGGATCACCTTGAACACTGATCCATCCCTTTGGCACATGCCTCAAAAACACGAGATACTTTAAAGCCACAAGTTACAAAGCAGCTGCATTACAGATACAAAGACTAGAAGAAGAATTGAGATCTCCTCTAACAGAACTGCACAGAAACAGCTCTTGTTTAATTGAAAGTCATTTTTTTTTTTTTTTTTTTTTTATAAAAAGCTTTTATTGTATTGGGAATTAAGTTAACTCCTCTCACACATTTACGTTTCACTGATTCAAAAACAAACAAACAAAACAAAACAAAACCCAAACAAACCTTAACCAGTATATAAAATACAATAGCTAGTCAGATAGGAATACCATAAGGCACACGTTCAAGTATTAGTGTAACAATATCCTCAGGTGGGGAGATGGGGGGGGGTTTCCACACACTTCTTTCATCACAGGTTTGGTTACTTTCTCTCACATTTAAAAAATACAAAGGCTTTCCCTAGATAAGGTTCCTTGGTGGCTGAGCACAGATTTGTTACTAAAAGTTAAAATGGTTCTATGGTTTTCTAAGTTTTATGTCAGTTTTGTTAATACATAATTATGTGAGAAAACAGATGCAGAATGAAGGTCTTTCTTTACCATCAAAACAGTTGCTCTGCGACTACTGTGTCAGTCCATCTGCTACTAGGCTAAAATATCTTTCATGTACCGTTCCCAGCCAGCAGATTACACTTTACAGAGCTCTAAGTTTACGTGCACATGTATCGAACTAGAGGACGTTGTTAAAGCTACAAACTTTTAACATTATATTGTATTAACTGTGTGGAAACTTGAATTCAAGAAGCCTCCTCCTTAGTACTTGCCCTCTAAGTTTAGCACAGCTTTATTTGTTTTTAAATTAAATTTACCATTGTTTTTAAATAACTAGCTCCACTGCAATGGAGTGCAGTATTTTTTCAATTTTGTAAAGGCAGTAGGAGCTTCCATAGGTCAAACAGACCCTGCTCTCCTCTTTGAACATCTCAACAATAGTATTACCTACTTAAAAATAACATTCAAAGAGACATTGCTGCACTCAAACCACCACTGTAAACAGTTAGTTACAACGGTCCTCATCTACAAAAACTGTTTTCTCAACGTACGCTTCTCTTTCTCCTTTCAGACCCCTGCAGCACACGAACCTCTTACTGCAGAGTGAGAAAACTCCCAACTGCAGCATTTCTCTGCAATGAAAACACAAAAGCAAGACAACTTCACAGCCAGACATAAAAAGGTTTCAAGCTAGAGGAGCATTTCCATGTATTAGGTTTTACAGCTTCTGTGCAACTTTTGATTTTAGAAGTTGTGTATGTTGAACTCCTTGATTCTGATTATGCATCTTCATTATACACTGTTAATTTTCTTTTTTAACCTGTTTCGTTAATCTCATTTTGTTCTCAACATACTTGCGAAGTTTAGATTTTTACTTACACTGCTAAATGACCTACTTTAAGTGGAACATACTGCAGTGTTTCATTTTGTTTAAAAAAGACCGTGATTTTGTCCATCAGTGCTGTCAGACTACAAAACATTACATTATAAAAAAAGGCTGATATACACAATCCAATATCCAGAAGGATATTCTGTTTTGCACCACAGGTTGAAGGAAATGTTAAAGGTCAAGAAAATAGAAAAACAAATCCAAAAGCTTCAAAAACAAGCTAGTTCTAGTTTGGATTTTTGTTTTTAGAAGATATAATGCTCTAATAAATGTAATTTAAGGAAGGTCATACACATGACCAGCATCTGCAGTAGGTCACTTCCTTATTTCGCCCACTCCCTCACAAAAATATATATACACATGTATTTATATGAATGAAATGGTTTTAGATCCAAATGAACTTATTTTGCACACACAAGTCATACATTTAGAAGGCAGCAAGACACTAGCATTCTGTTTCTTTGCTGTCCACTCGGTTCTGGCGCTGGAGTTTGAAAGACGAAGCTTTCTCACTCCTAGTGACAGGATGGTCCGTCAGGTCCTCAAAAGATTTGGCAGCCGAGCTGCTATTTGGGAAAGGGTCCTTCTCAAACCCGTCTTCATCAATATGAGAGTCAGTGCTGGGGTCTTCCTGAATAGTGTCCATTCTTTGGTGGTCCTGTTTCGGTGCCGCAGCTACTACTGGCATCGCCACAACAGGCTGCAGCGGCTGGTGTCGGCTTGTCGACTGTGCCGTGGGGAAGGGCTTGACAATTCGCACGGACGCCGAGTCCAGGCTGCTGAGCATCTCCACGTTCTGCAAGACACAAACAGCCAAGTCAGGTAGGAAGAAGCAACCAGGTTCTCACTCAAGCTTTCAGTTTTGCACTGTTTTCAAGGGGAACAGGCCAAGGGCACCTTCATAGGAGCACCTGTGCTTTTGTTAGAGCAGTTTTAAAAGGCTACTGCTTCCTCCTCTCCATTCCCAGCAGAGATGTGGTAACTGCCCTGTGCGTGCGCTGGGCTAAAGCGTTAGCCAGGCTGAACCCTCTGCAGCAGGTGGTAAACAGGGTTTGATCTCACCCTGTTTCACCCTGGAGTAGGAGCATGGGCCCAGCCACATGTGCCCTCTGAGGGCAGGCGGGAGGGACAATATTTTTCTAAAGTTGCTCAAACGTGCTTGCAAGCACTCGTCTGATCCTGCACGAGCCATGCATTCATCTCAGTGCCCTGAATGCTTGGGAGGAAGAAGCCAGCAGGAACAGCAATTCACATGAAGCTTGGGGGTTTTAGCCTCAGAAGGAACTGACAGGCTAAACAGAAATGCAACACAATCTGGTTTTACAGTAGATTTATACTTACATAAGAGCAAGGGAACATCCAACAGAAGTAGTTTTCTTGCACTGTTTTCTTTTTAGAAATCTGACTACATCAAGCATTAAAGGCAGAAAAGCCCTTTATCTCTGCTGGTTCCTACTCCACACAAAGCAGCGTGGGTGACAGCTTCTCTGGTACAGAGCTGACAACTCAGCAGCGCCTCCCCAGGGGCCTCCAGATGCTTAACAGTGCTTTGGTGAAATGTGGGATTCGAAACGTGGGGTCAACTCAGGCAACACTGAGAGCTCACCGCAGGAAAGCGATCAAAGAAATGGCTTATTCCACATCTGCAACGTGAGCAGTTCCCTGTTTCAGCATGTTCAAGAAGCTGTGCTGAACACAGGGGTCAAAGATCCGAAGGGACCATTGTGATCACCCTCAAATTCTGCAACCCAGATTAGGTTAAATCCTATTGTTTTCTGCTTCAATGTGAGAGCATGTTTTGAAAAATACCCAAAGACTTCCGGGTGTGAAAAATCCCCATAAACCTTAGCATGTGCTAATAATGGGCCAGGGAAGGGGAAGAGACAAGGGGATGACACAAAAAGCAGAACTAGGGTTCATGTGCTACTACTGGTGCTGCATTTTCCCACTGCTCATTTGGCAGAAGATCCAAAAGATACAGGCTGTTAAACTGGTGGTGGTGCAAGAAGCCCACTACACCTGTGCTCTACTGCTGGACCTGCTTCTGGGATGTTTCTTGAGAAGAAAAAAAAAAAAAGAAAGATGTAATAAAGATTTAACGTGATTCTTATGGCATCTGAGACCAACTAGGGGAGGGCTCACGCCAAGATCCCCTTCAGTTAGCTCACAGTAGACTACAGAGATGATCTGTCTCAGAAGTCTTTGACCCCAATATGCTTCCCCCAGTTGCTGTACAAGGGTTCTGCAAGGCCTCTTTTTCCCTTCTGTCACAGACGGGCAATTCTCATATGAATACTTCATTTTCACAATAAAAATTGGGCTGTCAAAGCACTGGACAGGATACCCAAAAATCTACATCAGAGGGTGCCTTGGGTTGGAGTGCAGTTACTTATCTAAGCAATTTTCTCCTCAGCCCCTCTCCCAAACCAACATCTACACAGAGAGAGAAACGTCAGTGTGTGACAACTGACAGGTCCTCTCACTCTGGGGCCAGCTTTCCCGGAAGCAACTAAAAGGCCTCAGCATATCTGGCTCGTGGAGGTCGACTCCGGCAAATGACCATTCTGCTCTTACAGCAAGTTAAAACTAGACCCACCAAGCTGCACTGCTTGATACATCAAACAGCAGCTTGTTCAAGACGACACCATTTTTCTCAAATTGATTAATCTGTCCACAGCTCTAGGCACAGGGCTCCAGGTTTGTCTATCATTCCGTTGATGAATACTCTGCAAACACCTTGGGTTCAGTTTAATATTCATTGGATAGCTTTCTGCCAGTCTCTAATCAGATAGCAACTTACACTGGGACAAAAGAGAGACTTTGTGTTCTCCTCGTACTGCTTGTCCAATTTCTTGTCCTATTGAAAAAAACAAACAAATAAATGTAAAGCAAAAGACACCCCCTCCCCACCTCAAACAACAGCATCAGTTCCCCAATTGCAAGCAGGGTCCCTGTCCCAGTTCACCAACAGGGACACAGCAGGGAGCGGTGGTCTTCTCCCTTTACCTACACCCCAGGTCTTCCATGCCTTCCCATCCATCCCAGGAGCGCTCCTGCGCACAGCAATCCTCTTTGCTCCAACTCCACGCTGCTCCACGCTCAGCAGTGTTGTGCCACGCTATGCCCTCCTCACTGCGGTGAACTTTCCCCTTACGCGTCCACTCAAGCCCAACCAAGGCCACTTCCTGCCTGAGGCCTCCCCACAAAAATTTTAAGTGCCTTGTTTCTTAGCAGAGCTTTTAAAAACTTGGGAGTCTAATGGAAGCTACCAAAAATCTCCTTGGGCAAAATTCTGGAGGCAGAGGAAGAAAATCTGTCTATGAAAGAAGAGACGTAGCTCGAGGGAACAGTCATGGGAGCGCTGGGCTCACCAGAACCCTGCAGAGTAAAGGAGGAGTTCTGCCTCTCGAAGGAGCCGTAAGCCTGCAAGCAGACAGTGTTACATACGCTGGCTTCTCTCCCTGGGATTTGCTAAAAGCTCCCCATCACCTTCTCCCACAGACATCTGCCATTTCCTATATGGAGGGTTCTCTTACAGCTCAATCCAACAGAGCAATCATCTCAGCAGAGCTTACTCACCACGCAGTGCACAAGGATGCTGAGAGGAATCCAAAAAAGTAAGGAGAAGACGAGCACAGAGCCCACTATATTGTCCGCTAGGAACTTCCCTGTGAAACCAGTCCAAATCAGTCAGTTGTCCACCAAATGCGGCACACAAACCCCCATTCGGCTGCCCTTGCCCCCACAAGCCCCCTCACAGAACTTCTCAGATAGGCCCAGGCTGCAAGACGAGGCTGACAGGATAGATCTGTTTACAAAATTGTACCAGATATGCTAACAGTAACGGGTTTTTACCTCTGTTCTCCTCTGATGAGGAATGCCAACAGGCCATAACATTTAATATTAGTGGATTAGTAACAGGCTATATTTAGTTAGCCAGGCTACCTCTCCCACTTACAGAAGACACGCTGCGTATCTGTTGTCACATGCCTGTAAAATCGGGATCTGTTAACTACATGCCTCCACAAACACTATGCCTACTTTCAAACATCAAGGGATAAAAAGCATCTCTACTGGAGCAGACTGAAAAGCTTTAATAATTACCTCAGAAATAATTTTTTGACCTTAGAACCTTAGTCAGAAAGCCCCAAACCCACACAATTAGCCTGCATATACATAACATCACTATAAACTTATTGTTACCCTATCGTTACAAAAGCACACACTAATTGATGCTTTTTTGTACCCTTACAGTGAAACGTAGTTACACCGAGAGGCAGCTACATGCCTGGATTTCACTGTGGGGATCAAGACCAAAGAAGCAGGTGTACAGTCCCCGGCCAGTGACTCATAGAGCCCCACAGCCTGAGCTGGATTACCTCCGTGATTTTGTTAAACAAGAAAGAAATGAAGTTTTCATTTCCCGATCTGTCGGCATTTAAACCCCACTGAAAGGTCTACTTCAACTACAGCATGCTGAAGCTAGCTGATGTCTCTGGAGACTGTTACTGCCTTTCCTCCAAGCGGCCTACTTTTTGGCAGTCAGACAGAAAGTTTTCTGAATAGGTACCATTTAAAAGGCAACATCAGTACTTGTCAAACCTAATGCAGAAGTGTCAGAAACACAGCTACTAACTCCCCTTGTCTACAGATGAGTAAAAAGTCAGCTACCTCCCCCCATGCCTTTAGAAGTACTTGCCATGGGCTAAAAATCAAAGGCTATATATCTTACCAAAAGTATTGATGCTAAGTTGGTCTATGAAATCCCAGAATCGTTCAATCACATCCTGTACTTGCTTCTCGCATTTGCCCTGCAAAAGTAAACATATATTTACAAAACAATCTCATACTATCTAAGGTTTAACTCTCTTTCTCTTGGGGAAAGAAAAGGATGCAAAGATTGCAAAGAAATAAAGAACTGCACAGAACAAAGAAGCACTTCACACGTTCTGAATACAGATCACACGCTCACTCCCAGGATTGGCAGTCCTTGTGTTTGTTTATTTATTTTTGACAAATTGCTGTCTGAAAACAGATGTAGTTTTAATATCTGAAACTTGCAAACATTTTCCCTCTTCCTCCCATGTTAAGGGACATAGAACTGAACTTTCCAGAAAGGCTTAGGCAGTGGAAACCTTCGTTCCCATTAACCATCAGGGAGGCTGAATATCCTAGGAACCCAGGGTCACAGACAGACTTCCAGATCTGTCTGCGCTGGTTTAATGCGGGAGGTTACTGGTCTCTCAGTTCTGCCAGCAGAAAGGCTGGGGTACACCCTCCCAAATTCACTTCTGCCAGCACTCAGTTTAACTTAGACCATCAGGGTCTGCAGGCTCCATGACCGTTTGTGCAGCCACTTGCTGGAAGTGCTCACTGAGCACCAGCAATTCATCACAACCTCTCTGCCACAGGCCTACTGCCCCCTTCAGATACTGCCAGCTAGATGTTCACACGACTGCTCCTTGACCCGATTCATTTAAGTCAAAGTTAATCAGGCTAACGGGAACAGCTGGAACAGCAAGCACTGCTAACCTAGCTGAGGTGGTGGCAGCGCTCATTCACTTCTGCCACACAAGCTGCCGACTGGCTGAGCAAAAGGCGGGTAATAAGCAATGGCAGAAGGTAACGTTTCACCTTGCACAGTTCTCTGCAGAACTAACTTCCATCTACAGACTCAGACACCCTTTAATAGTTGCCCTGGATCGGGCAAAAATGAAGTGTTTGACTTGCTCTTTATCCAAAACCTGATCTTTTCACCAATCCCACTTCTCCTCCAGGACAGTTTCTTCACATTACTCAGGAGATGAGGGGGGCTATCAGCACACCCCACAGTACCACGCACCCCAGGAAGGCAGGTTGTCTCCACTAGCCTCTTCCCCTCCCGCCTCACTGCACCAGTATCACAGTGCTCAGCCGCACATCAAGCTTTGGCCTCTCTGTATCAGCACAGCCTCAGTCACAGTGGACTCCAAAACACCCAGCCATGGAAGCAGAGCTTGCAGTGCACTGGCGTCTGGGAAAACTTACATTTGTATCACAGAAGCCCACAGTACAGGGCTTCCCCTTGCGCAGGAACAGGAACTGGTTGTTAGCATCGACGTACGGGATACACCTATCCTGCTCGTCCCGGCAGCACACCTTGCAGGAATTATCAGTTTCTGAAATAAAGCAACACACTGATTCCTTTGCAGCACTGAGTCACCTGCATCCCATAACCATGCAGTATGCCCCAAGCGTCCCCTGGCTGACTGTGCTCCCAGACAGCCTTCCCAGAGGGAAGGCAGAAGCGTGCAAGTCACCCAGTTTTGGGCACTCAGCTGACCAAGCCTGAAACTCAGCCACCTGCCCCATGCAATAGATTTAGGGACACAGTGGGAACAGCTCCTCTCTCCAAGCCGATACCCCAATGCTGCAGGGTGAACAGGCAAGTGAAGAGGTTACAAAAGCACCCAAGAAGCAAAGTTAATACTTCTTGGTATTGTGGGGCACCTGTGAAACCAAGTAGCAACAGCCTCAAAAGGCAAAAACAGGCAGAGCTGGAACGATGCTGCAATCTTTGACCCTGGCTTGAACCAAACTGAATACGGGAGGAAGGAGTCTCTAATCATCTAGAAACATCTGGCAAGAAACGCCTTCCTTCAGCAAAAGTGATTAAACTCCAGGCATCCTCATCCTTGGGCTAGGAGGGTCTGTCTCAAATGGAGCTTACAGCAGCTCCTTGAGCTCTTCCTGCGAGGCTTTCTTTCTGCTCCTAGCTACCTTACCATATTTAAGAGCTAAGGCAGAGGGAGAGCGGTAGAGCCTATTGATAAAATTATAAGCCAGGCAGGTTTGCAGGAGCAGGGAACTGGCTTCAGTGGTTCTATGTGCTCATGGCACTTAAACTACTTGCTAGAGAGCATCTTGCTAAAAGCCTGCCCAGAGGTTGTTCGGGATCTCCAGGCCACCAGAGAACAGGCAGACTTCCCTCCTACCTGCCTGCAGCTGAAGAAGGTGGCGCTCTCCCTCCTTCTACCTCTTCTGAATAGCATATGCCAGACCATCAGTCTTGTTTTACTGTCTTCAACTCAGACATCAGAGGGCATTTACAGCCCTTTTCCAAACAGCAGATACTATAGCAGGCGCCAAAGGATCAACAGTATGGGCTTTTTCAAAAACTCAGTGGGGTCCAGAGACTCAGCCCTCTTCAACAGGTGACCCCAGAATGCCCTCAGTGCTGCCTGCAGAGCAGGGCTGAGGGAAGGCGTTCACGGTCAGTCCCGTTTCACTCACCATTACACGCGCACGACCGTAGGTTCCTCTCCCTCTCACAGAAAGGGACACACTCCCCATCCTTGCACTTCCCCATGTCCACACAAACCGTGTCATCCGGAGCATTCCCTGGAGGAGGGCACTCACTGCTGTTCCCTAGAGATGGAGGTCAAGAGGGTAGAAAGACTGTTAGAGCAAAGGGCAGAACACCTAAAGCGGGCAGGACAGGAAAACGGAAATCCAGACTCAACCCAGGGGTGAACTGCAATAGCTTGTTTCTAGCTTTCCTTTGCAGGCTGCCTGCCAAGTCCTCTGAGGGGCAGCAGAAACTTCGGAGGCTTTCGACAACCCAGGCATTGTGGTACTGCAGTGACCAGGCAGTAGGTCACAGATGCTGGACAACCACCACTAAAGGAGAAGCAGCTCTGACTTGACTCCTCGCCTCCAGTAAAGATTACGAGGAGGACGCAAACAACTGGGAAAGTGAAGCAGAGTCACAGTAATTCCACCCTTTCTACAGCAAGATTCAGTTTATTCCTGTCCCTCCTAATGTCCTGTTCCCTCTCTTTTTCTTTTTTCTTTTTTTTTTTTTTTTAAGAAAAAAAAAATTTTCATGTTCTCCTGATCTGTAAATCACCAAATGGCTCCTGAACTACAATGAAACTCATTATAGGGCAATTTAGTGATGCTTAACTGGTCTCTAAAATTAGATGTACCGGATGAATAAAGGGCACTAGTTTGAAAGCTGATCGAACAGGACACTGAGCCTGAAGCATTTGGCTAGCTGATGTGAAGGGGACCGAACAATGTCCTACCAGTGCAAAAAGACTCTCCTTTACAAGTGGCATTTATGGCTTCTTGGCATTTTTTCTGTGCACTTTCAAATTGGCAGCCTTTGCAGCAGGGGCTGTTCCGATCACTGTGGAAAGATCAAAATGAAAGGAAGAAATATAGGTTGTTTTAAAAAGAGTATGAGCATGACAAAGTCAGGGAAAGAGGTTATTTAGAAATAAAGCTATTTCTTGGAGACCAATTTACTCACTCAAAACCTTTCCACCTTTTGCATCCTCCCACCACCAACTTCCTACACACTCATTCGCTCTTCTTCGTTTACCAACGGAGGTAAGCACACAGAAAACACAACGTATTGAGAGACAACATAAGGACCCTCATATTTATTTAAGGCACTCGGATCTTCTTCCTGTCTCCCTCGCCGACCTGCTGTGCAACTTTGGATAAGATGCTTCACTGTTTCCTTCCTCCAACATTTTTCTTCCCTGGAAGCTTTACTACTCCTTACTCTTCGCTCTTCCTACAGGCTAATACAAGAAGGCCCTTAATACAAACACGTTCATTACAGTTGAGGGAACTTCTTGCTAAACCACAAGCTTTCTCCACTGTAACATAGTGCAGAGCTGAACTCTGAAAACCAGATTGGACATGGCACTGCAACAGTGCCATGACACCACAGAGATAGAACAAGAATAGGAAGAGGGCTAAGTCGGTGCATTCACTGTTTTGCCTGCTCAAGTAAACGTTGCAGCAGTCTTGTGAGAGTAATAATAATCAATCCCAGTTTAAAACTGTCTTGCAATGCACACACAAAAAGACGTAGTTCGCATAGAAAGTTTTAATATTAGCTTTTCTGACTGCTTGAGTTTGATCTTAACAAGAGGAAATAATTTCCAAACATGCAGCTACTGACATTGCTCAGAAAAGTAACAGAATGCTCCAGAAACTAATGTATAAGAGCAGCACATGCACACAGCACCCTTTCCTGGAATCCTCCACTGCCTTCATCTGTTTGGCCTCAGTCAGGAATCAGGTCTGTGATACTGCAGTTGGCTTTCTGAGCTTTCAACCTAGCCCCATAGCCATTCTCTTCACTCCCCATGAGCAGTTGCAGCTTCTTTCCCCTTACCTGCACTTGGCACCATCTTTCAGTTTGCAGTCTGCAGAGCAGCAGGGATCAGCTTGTTGGTACAAGAGGCCGGGATCGCATTCTTCCCCTTCATCCACCCTGGAGTTCCCACACACTTTGTTGTTGCGCTCTTTGAAGCACTCCTGAGCCTTGATCTCTATGGTCCTATGGATGGATTTTTTGCTGCAGCTTGAGAACATCTAGAGAGTCGTGAGGGTAAAGAGTAGCACTGAGGAGGAACGCACCTTTCGGTTAACAAGTTGCATCTAAGGCAGACAGAGTCAGCCTCCTCAGTCCTCCAAATTCTGGTGTCTTAGGAAACAATTATTCTTTCCGTATTGCCACCTTGATAACTTGAGAGAATTTAAAGACAGGAAAGTAATGTTTGGGTCTATGAAGGATGTTGCTGCATTCCAGTGCGCACACACCCACGCACCGTCTGGCTCTGGGTTGCAGAGCCATATCCAGTTCTGCCACTGCTTCGGGAGCACTCGCAACAATCGCCCAGGAGGAAATGCGAAGTTGCAGCAATGGGCAGAGACTGTGCTGCCTCTTGGCAACAGGATTAGGTGTAAACCTCAGCAAGTTAGACTAGACTAATCAGTTGGACTAATCATTGCCTTGAAAATCCTGGTTTCTCATCTGCAAAACAGGCACAACGCCAGCTCCGCATTGCCATGTGCAAGTCTGAGACGGGTAAGCACCATGCTTGTGTCGGACAGGCCTCTGACAGAAGAGCCATAGACCACTCAAATGATATTTAGAAGCCTGTGCTTGGTGCTGAAGGTCTCACATTTGACTCTTGCTGTTGATTTACCTATAACAGCACACAGCCACAGCTAACATAAAAGCCTGGGCATGCTATAAGCAGAGCTCAGAAACCAGAGAGGAGCTTACCTTGCAGAGAACACAACTGCACGCAAGCTTGTTTCTTCTTAAGGGCAGTCCTTTAAATTCTCACTGTTTTTTAAGCTACAGGAACCATTAACTAAATAGACTTTCAGTGCAGAGGGTCACTGACTGTAGCAGAGACTTATACCTCAAAGCAAACCCTGCAATGATACCTTGTTGTTTTCATGATCTCCACTGACAGCGATTGGATACATAACGTATTTCCCTCCCTGGTCTTCAGTGGGGGCACATTCTGGCAGACTGTCAGGATCATGCTCTGCTCCAAAGTTATGTCCCAGTTCATGAGTTGTAACCAAGTCTGCCTCCTATTTTAGACAAGAAAAAAAAAAAAAAAAACACTGCTTAAAAAAAAAGTTAGTCTGAGCAGGACAGGAGAGAAGATCCTGAATACTTCCAGGTCACTTGCATTTCCAAGATATACTTGGTTGGAAAAGCAATTTTACCCACTGAAAGTGGGGAACTAAAGACGAGCAAAACTACAGTGCATTTCCAAAGGTGAATTCCAGGACTAGGTTTGAATAGTAGTAGAGGCAAAACACTGTCCTAGAATACTGATTCAATTTTGTTTTGAATGAAGTGCAGGTACTGAAAGTGTCAAATTTAAATAGTCGGAGGGCATTAAAAAGTTCAAACAAAAACAATCCAAATGAACATCTGAACATCGTCTACCATGATTAGTCAATCTTTTGTTTAACTTATCTTGCCTCTAGAATTATTTCCCCTAAACAGATGATGACATTTAGAGCTCTGAATAAGCTCTCCTATTGCATGAGCGCTAGGAAAACCATCTACAAACAGCCCAACAGGGACGGATTTGCAAAACCATGTCGCAAGACAGAACTCCCTCTGCTGAGGATCCAAAACCAGCTCTGCCTCCTTGCGCTGTGCACCTCTCTGCATGCCCTTGACCAGCAGATGGTGTCGGGCTCGCAAAGTAACAACCACAAACAAATCTCGCACAGAAATAAAAGTTAACCACAAGGAGACCGAGCGGCTCCTGAGAGAGGGAAGCAAGCAAGCAAGCTGGACAAGCCAACCGTTGCTCCTGCTGCTGGGCGGGCCCCGGGGAGGACTAAGCACCGCAATAATCAGCGGTCAGTGCTGAGCACATAACACACGAGTCAGGGACAGGAGAGCTGCCCAGAGCGCTCCTGTGCTTTGTGGAGTTCATTTTGTGGAAGGATTTTAAGCAGGTTTTTTTTTTTTTTTTTGGAAACCCAAGCAGATGCTGTGAAACGTTCCCTGTGAAAGCAATCCACAATGCTCACACTGACCCACTGCGTGGCGGAGCTGTGCAAACGGCCATGCCAAGCTCTCTGGGGCTTTTGTGACCGCCCCTAGGAGGAAGTCAAACTCAATTTCCTTTCTAATCCAAGACTGAACTCCAGCTTGGAGGTTGAACAGCAAACGCAAATGGCATGGCAACAGCTAGAGCGCTTTGTCAACATCTCTCTAACACAAAGGTTCAGTGTCTTTTTCTAGCTTCTTGACAGCTTCTGTGCCAAGTTTTAGCCCACACATCAATTATGAATTCCCTTTAAAATCAGACTGCAGCAAAGCACAGCTGAGAAATCAGCAAAAGAAAAATAGGTCCAACTGCAAAGATTTGGTAGCTGCAAATGAAGGCTCTGCTCTGGTATCTTTACAAGCGGGACAAAACTCACACTCAGGCCTTTAGGTATTTGCTATCTCATCAACCACGACAAAAAAATTCTAGAGAGCATCAACTTACGTTAGGGTTAGTAATAGCACTAACAAGCTCTGTCCCTTTGATTGTTTTCTTTTCTATTTATTCGGGGAAAAAATAGAGGAACTTCATTAAAAGACCAACATTGCCTTGCAGATAGGAAACAGAGCTGGCATAAGCAATCTTCCCTCTCTATGTTGCACATGTACATAACCGTAAAAACACATAAGTCTTTCTTATTTCAGTCACCAGACTAACTTTATTCTTACTGCAAGTCTACTTGCTGTATTGTACGGCTTTCTCTGAGGTTTTTCTTTTCCCTGCCCCAAAGCAAAATACGTTTGAATTCATCTTTGGATTTCAAAATCCTGTTTACATTTGGATGATAACTGCCCCTATCAGACACTGGGTACATTTCCTCATTACTGATCCCCACTGCATTCAGTCTTCATTTTTGTCCCTGCTGCCAGGGGGAGTCAGGACTGACTGGAACTGAGGAGGGTTTTGTGACCTGCATCCTTGTCCCCAGGGATCTGACCCAATCTCAGAGCCAGCAGCTCATTTCAGACAGATATTGGAAACTTCTAACGTCCCGAGAAAACACAGGACCAACAAGCAAGTACATAAACCAAACCTACCATATACCCCCGTTCACCCTGTGCAGAAGATGGTGATCTCCTACCTTTGTGAGGATAGTTTTCCCATAGTTCTTGGTGCTGGTTAAGCCACTGTTCAGATAGATGTCTTTCTTGGCAATTTGACTGTAATAAGCTATAGAAATGAAAGAGAAACAAGTCAAATTGTAAAATATTCTTCTTAGGGTGTTTTTTTAGGGGGAGGTGGGGAGGGTGGGAATTCACGCTTGAGAAAATAACAGCTTTACCATGCTCACAGACTCACCAGTGAGACCCTGCCTTTTCCCAGTTTTTGCAGTAGGGAATAAACGGCTCACATATTACAGGAAAGGAGAATATAAGAAATATCCAAGACAGTAACATCTGCAACTTCCGAACTGCTGCAAGACATACCTATGCAAAGTAGCACTCAGTCTAGCCAGGCCTTCACACAGCTTGTTCCCTTTGGAAAGCCTAATGACTTTTATCCTTCCCTGCCACCTCCTCCTTGCTTCAGCCAAGGAAAAGGCCATCCCTTCTATCCTGACCTCAGCCACTAGACACTGTGCAAGTGACACATCATCCCCCATGGAAATTCTAAGAGGATTAAATACAAAGACTAGTTTTCAACACACAGTTGGGATGAGGGGAAACACACACACACACACACACACACACACACACACAGAGAAGTCTTGCCTTTTGGACAAATGCCACCATGGCTGTTAGGCCTGGGAGAGCCGACATAAGCCAATCCAAGCGTTCCCATATCAAAATCTTGATATGTAAAGAGATGAGCAAGGCACACGTGAGCTGCTTTCTCAGCAATATCAAAGCTAAATTGCTTTAAAGAAAAAAAAAAAAGTCTTAGCAAAACATTTTATGGTACGTATCAAAAATATATTGATAAGAATGTTTATCTAACGAGGCAGGCATTTTCTAGATCTGATTAAGTGGTAAATGAGCAGCTGCTTTTCTCTCCTACAGAGCTACAGGAAATTAAATGGATACCCAAGTACATTGTACGCGTTTATTTACATAACTGTTTATTCATTTCGCTTTTTGAAAGAGGGGGGCAAATCAAGTGCAATAATGCGACAAAGGTCACAAGCTAATTAGTCTCAGGGCCAGACAAAATTCTCCTCTTTACACTCGTACAGGCCTGTCCTTCTGACATAAGCCACGCATTAATAATGCTAGTTGGTTTGCTCTCTGCAATCATACAGTGAAGCCCCTTACCACGGGCTGCAGTGCACATCAGCTAGTTTTTCTTTGTGTAACATCTGTACAGCATGTGGAAGAAGTACAAGAGTTTCATCTGTTACTAAAGAACGGCTGCATAAAGCGAGTAACTCTCCGTATAGGGTGCAATTTGTCAAGGGTTACAGCCTACCTCTAGCAGCATTTTCACATCCCAGGCATCCTTCTTATCATCTGGGTGACTTTTTGCCATGTTGTAATGCTTATCTCCAGGCTTTACAGCATTTGGTTCATTGTGGATGATAATCTACATTTAAAAAAAAAAAAAAAAGGCAACAACAATATAGAGGAATTTTGACCAATTTTATAGCTACAAAAAAAGCTTCCTCACTTCAAAATGTAATCCTAAATGCCTCAAATGGATCTGCAAGAAGCAAAACTCAGATTCCGCAAGCTCCCAATGGTAAGTTTTCAGTTACTACTAATTAAGATACATTGATCACATCATAAGCAACTAAACCAGCTGTTTATTATAGAGTAACATCATCAGTTTTCACTGTAATAGTCTTTTGAGATGTGTGCTACTCTACCAAAAAGCAAATACAATCAGGATTTACATTTAGTATAAATAACTCTAAACTCAGGCTTCTATTTAACCAGAAAACATGTTTAAAGGACTGCCATCTTCCCAGTGGCCTAGACCTCCCCCACCCCACCCACCAAAGCAGAGCGAGGTGTTCATTAAATTACTTCTCTAGAGGCCTTCCTAGCAAAGGGGCAGCTAGTTTGTACCATGATGCTCTACGTTCCACAGAACAGACAGACCCCTAATCATTTCAATGCCATTTCCCAGCTTTCTGTGCACTAACTTTCAGGAGCCAATCTGCAACCCTGTACCAGCCTGCTGTACTGCTACCACATAACAACGTCTAAGGTTAATGATTAAAGCTCCTCAGGCAGGGATTCATGCTTTTTCTTTTGTCTGAAGCACACACAGGCTTTGTAAGATAAGCACTAGCCATAGAGAGAAACATTAAATATTTGTGTAAAAGTATGTTTGACAGAAAGAAAAATTTTTCATATTCAGGAAGAAAGCACCTTTGAATTGAGATCAAGTACGGAAAGACTCCCTGTAAACTCCCCTCTCAAAAGCTGTGAGGAGCTGAAAACGGGCATGCTGCGTCAAATCGTTATTAACACCTCTGGTGAGAGCACTTCTGCCCGGAGTTAATAATGCAAGGTTTGATTATTTTAGCTCTAAACGAGATAAAAGAAGCAGAAACTCTAATATCTAAAACATATTCTTGCGCTTTAAATTTGAAAGCCTTTGCAGAGTTCAGTGAATACCTGCTCTATCTGTATGCCGTACCCATTGAAGGCCCCATTGTCCCAGGAAGTATTTCGGTAGATGTCATCTACTCTGTCTATCAATTCAATCTACGTAGAAAAGAAAAACAATTTATTTAGTTTCGAGCTCTCAGGTAGTGAAGATCAAGACACTCAGGGAAGCTGCAATACACTTATCTAAGAAGCAGTCATTTCAAAATAAAACTGAATCTCATAAAACATGGCAGATTATTCACTGTTCCAAAAACAACAGTTCTTGGATTCAGAAGGGTAGTATCAAGTATCCCTGAAAATTTTCCATCGTAAGAAAAAGAGTACAAACTTCGCCGTTTATCACTTTGATTTGTGCAGTGGAAGAGAGAGAATATTAAGAACAAGACATCTTGGGAAATATTTTTTTCATGTACTAGTTTTCCAGGCTTCCTTGAAGGGATGGGCAGACGAGGGGGTTGTTTTTACTGTTTTGGGTTCCAGCACTATGCTTCACTAGTTTAAGTGACTCCTGAGGCCTGGTTCCCTCTCCCAGCCAATAAACTGTTATTTTCCTAATTATGTTCAAGCATAAGGTTCCAGAAAGTCTCTGTTCAGTGCTTATAATCAACATCTCCTTTTGCAAGCTCTTCTCATCTTCTTACAAATCATCTTCTACTAAATATGAACCATCAAAATTGCTCAGAATGAAAGTGACATTCAGGAGCACTCGGTAATAGCTTATACTGTAGTTTTCCAGTCAGTGTGTTGTTTACAGCACACGTCCTCCCAGGAAACACGGCAGGAGGTTAGTCTGAAAGAATCATATATCAGATGCTGAGACAAATAGCATCTCTGCAAACACATGAATTGAGGCTCTACTACCTCCCGAACGTAAACATTTCTGGGGACAGAAAGGTCAGAAAGTCAGGAAAGATAGAGCGCTTAGCATTTCAAAGACTCAGGCTCAAAAAGAGACTCTTGAGAAACAGCAGACCTCCAAAAACGGTTTTATTTGTTTTTGTCTCCAGTTCCAAAACCCATGCTCTCCACTTTAGTGGAGCAGAAAAACACCTAGCAACAGCCTTTCAGCAAAGGCAGGTAAGACAACCCCGCCTACAACCAAACTATTTGCTAACCACGCTCGTTTTTAATTTTATTGTTTTGCCAGAGAATCCTGGCAGAAGTTGAAAAAACTCACACGAGTTGCTTGTGCCTCTCCTATCAACTTTAAGCATGCTTGGATCATTTACATCAATGCGAAGAATTAGGAGATTCTAGAAGCTGTGTTACAACTACTGTATCTTTTTTTTATTCCGCCATTTACTCTAGCAAATTATAACAGAGTAGATTTACTTACCAAATAGTTTATAGTAGTACTCTCTTCCCCACGGCCCATATACTTGAAAAAGCGATGATCTGCTACTACCAACATCTTGCAGGTGTTTTTTGAACTCTCTGAAATGGCTCTTTTCTCCCGATGGACACTTGCTAATGTGAACGTTTTAAACACAATTTAAAAAAAAGGATCAGTAGAGTTGCCCAGGATTGGCTATATTAATCCTGTTTGAGACACGAACACAACTTTTTTTTTTTTTGCAGGGCGTGTGGAAAATAATTCTTCCTAAAGTTTTGTCTTCATAATAGCCCTCTACCTTACCCCTGTTGTAAGGAACGTATGGTGGTGAAATTGAGTCATAAGTAGATTTACCAACACAGTTTTCACAATCTATCACAACTCAAGACGGATTTTTTGAGCGACAACAGAAGCCAAACGGCGTCCTGCTGCACAGTGCATTGATGGACAAAGTTGTTTTAATGTTCACCTGAAAAACCAACTTGTACTGCTGTTGTCTATCGCAATAAACACTGCTTAGGCCTGACCACATAGCTTTCTCTATTTCGTCTATAGACCAGTAGAGCCAAACATCCTTTCATCAAGCCAGGAGGGAACAAGCCACCAGTAGTAACAGTTTATTCCTTTCACCAGTTGTCAGGGCTTGGGGTGGGGCGGGGGGTAGGGGGGGAGGACTGTTGTTTCGCCCCCCCCCCCCCTTTAAAGAGTTAATAGTTAAACTAGAAGCAGCAGAGATTACCGCCCAGGTTCTGGCCTTACTTGCCTACACAAACAGAATTCCAGCATTCCTTTCCAAGGCTCTGCTCTCCCAGCGTACGGGCGCTCACCTTCATTTTGCTTGCTATCTTCCAGTCCTTTCGGCAACAGTTCTTCTTCGTTCAGCTTTAAATAACCACACACTTTGGGGGACTGCAATCGTGAGAAATCTTTAATATCTTCAGATCTGTAGACCAGCAGCCTTCCGTCTTGCACGTTATCTACAAATCTCCAGAGCGGCTGACAGCACAACAAGCAAGGCAGAAATGCAACTAGTTAGAAATACGTGAACACAAAGATTCAGTTTATACAAATAAAAACCAAATATATATATATATATATATTCAACTGTCCACAGCTCTATGTGTGCGTACAGATACATACAAAAACATTGGACTGATCATTTTAGCCATAGAAATAAATCTACCAACAAAACTACTTCCACTAAAAAGCACTTAGAATTCAACCCTTCGCGCTACACAGGCGTCAAAAAAAACGAAGATTATCTCAACAAAGCAGCACCAGCCGTCTCCTAAGACCGTAGAAGGAACAGAATTTTCTTCCTCCCCAAAAGTGCAAGCTGAGCAGGCATCTCAGGGTTCTCTGTTCCCTCCCTAGCAATATTAAGCTAGAGGGTCTTGATCACCCTGGCAGATAATATATTTATAATAGTGACGTGTTGGTCAAAAATGACGATAACAGCCGTAACAGCTATAACTTTACCCTACCAAATACAACACAGCCAAGAAACGTCCTCCAACCAAGGCAGAGCAGCACAGACTGTCCACGTCCACACCACAGAGCACATGGTTCCAGTCTCCTCCAGGCTTTAGGCAATGCCTTTCTGAACTCAAGACACTTATTTTTTAGCGTGTAGTGGTTTTAGTTCAAAGCAAAACAGTCTTGAAACACAAGAGCTGCACCAGCCCAGTGGCCACACGTCCACGGCAAGAAACCTAGGGTGCACGTTGCACGAGCTAGGGCATGGCACAGGGGTCTGCACGGAGGTTCACCACCCTTCTGAACGGCGTAGGAGGACCACGAAAGAGAAGGCAGGCAAGAGCCTTTGGCCATAACACCTTTAGGGAACTGTCTCTGGCACGTGCATCATCTCAGACAGGGCCAGCTAGGGGCTGAAGCTGGCCCGGGGACGTGAACGGCGAGGCAGCACGGACAAGCCAGAGCCTCAACTCCATTGCCCAGCTTTATTCAGCTGCACAGATAGAGGTGCGGGGAAGGGACAAAGATGTGCTTAAATTACTCTTGGACCACAAATGCTCTTAGTCATAATCAAGCAGCTACTATATGCTCTCAACGCAAAACAAGTACAGTGGTTTTGGTATTCTGATCGCATATTTTTGTACTTTAACGTGTTTAGATTGCTCAAGTTTACCCATAATTCTGAATTTCCTTGGGTTTGAGACAATTACAATATCCATATAACACTCACCCATAGTTTCTATTACTCACCCGTTCTAATACAGTTTGCATCTGGGAATAACTGCATTGAACAACTCATTTAGGGTAGTTTTTAACTATATATTTGTGGAATATTTATTTTTTAATCAATAGTTTAAAATAACACAAGCAATGAAAATGGTGAAAAACAGAAACAAGACAGCAAAGAAAGAACATTTCCAAACAAAGCTCTAAGAATGGAAAAATCTAAGATATAACAAAGCTAAAAATCTTTAAAAGCTCAACAAACCTCCCCCTTGCTCAGAAGACTGCGCGCTTTGTGATTCTACGGGACACGACTGCCACTAATTATAAATGCTACTCATTTCAGTTTCTAACAATCTTTTCCTCTCCGAGATGTATTTTCTCCCAGTTGTATCTAAAATATGGAAACGTCACCGAATGGCACTCACTAATAAAATTTAACACTTGCAAAAGTCAACCGGTTTCATATTTCTCTCCTTCCTCCCTACTTGCCCCAAAACAAACACCACCACCAAGTCTATTTTGAACTACAGAGGTGTCAATTTGACTAGCTAGAAAGAAAAACACCCATACAGAAAGAAGAACATTGCTTTCAATAGTAAAGCATACCTCTATATTATATTCTTCTCCATCAGTATTGATTCTTACTGTGAAGTCTTCATCCCCAATATGTGCCACAACCTTGGAGTTATGCTCCCCTTCAACGTAAGTGAGAAAAAAGTAAATTAATTCAGATCTATTTGCACACATTCCTACAGAAACGTTGTGTAAAGAACAAAAACATCCCTCCCAACAATTTAAACTTCAAGCCAAAAATCTTTCCTCATTCTCTGCAGAACTCTACACCCAGAACTTTAAAAAAAAAAAAAACACAAACAAAAAAACCACCCAACCAACAACCATGCCCTCCGCCTTAAATTCTCAACTGTCAGAGGAATCAAGGTTTTGATTTATTTAATTGATAGTTTTGCAGAAGGTGCTGCGATGGCTCTGGGGATTAGTAACAGGACACAGAACTCTTTGCCAATAAAAGCAGTTTGGCTCTTGCCGCTATCAGACAGCAATTTCATGGCGTCAGCCTGCATTCCAGCAGAGCAGACTTTCACCACATCACACAGGCAACATAAAAGTCAAAACAACTTAGCGGAAGCATTAGTGCTTGACTAGAAACGGAGCAAGACACCCTTTCTTCCAGCAAAATACTCTTATCAAGAATCACGTTGAAGCATTTTAATACAACCATCTAGGCAACACGACACGACCGCTACCTTGGTTTTGTGTCTTGTGACAAGAAACCCTGTTAAATCCTGCACTTCAGCTGGAATTAAAGCCATCATCCTCAGTTTAAAAGATCACAAACTCTTGTTTGAGTAAATTATACCGTGATGTACAGCCAAACTAAATGCAAGAGTCCTAATTTTTGAATTAGGACCTTGCTGCAACAGCTCAAGAATCAAAACACAACACAAAATCCAAGGGGCACAAGAATTAAGTTTACTTATTCATCCGAACTGTATTTGATGAAAGTGCCTGCAATATACCATTTACTTTGGCCAAGAGACTTGGGCAAAGCTGCGCTCTCTCAGCACAGACACACACAGTCTAGTCCATACTAACCAACGACATGTCCAGTGAAAAAGTCTTGCCATTGAACACGATACTCCTTCTCCTTGCCTTCACCATCCACAATTAATGCTTGAAATTTTTCTGAAAAGTGTTCAGTAGTTGCAGTTAAGTATAATTTAAAGTGCCTGTAAAAGAATTCATTGCCATTTATTTTTAAGCAAATTATAGACACAAGAGAAACAGACGCATCCGGGCTCCGTTTTACTGAAGGTCCCAGAAAAGGTGGAAAGCATTACGTCTGATAAGCAGGCTACAAGAATATATGCTATATAATTCATAACTGTAAACTGTTAGTTCTCTATAGAACATTTGTAAAGTGCCAAAGAGCTTTAATAAAAAGAAATAAAAAAAATCACATCAAAATTTACAACAGTCAATGTTTGCTCATGATGCACCTTTTCCACAGGGGTTCAAGCAAAACTGATTACTGCTAATGATGCACTGATTTCAAAAAAGACCAAGGAATCTGTTCATCTGCTTTGTTAAGTTATGTTCAACTTCTTACTTTTCTGAAGTAATATAACTAGTAGACTCTAAACAGAAGTCTGAATTCTGTAGATTTTGATGAGAGAAAAATTCACAGCACACGGAGCATCACAATAATCGAACGCTATCACAAGAACCAAGCAGAGAACCTTCTCTGGAGAGAGCCGCGGGCACTCTTGGTCTGGGTGGGTTTCGCGCCACAGGCTTTGGTGTGCCCCCCAGCAACTGTTCTGCAGGTATCGCTGGCAGTATTGCAAACTATTTGTTGCAGCACAAGTCCACTGTGAAGCTAGCGTAGGCAAAGCAGTGCAAGATAGGGACCGGCTGGCCAACTTTTGATCCCATTAACCCTTTAAACTCACTACTTAAAAACAAACAAAAAAAACCCCAAGCATGTAGACGTAAGCAACAAGCACAGCAACTCGCATGACCGTTGCGGATTTCTGGAGGGGACAGATGAGGGAAGGCATATGAGAAACACAGTACACCGAGATGTCCGACGAACGAAATCAGCCTACTCTTCTTAAGACAAACGTTATTCTCACACCCCCTCTCCATTTCAGATTCGCAATTTTAGCGCTCCAATACCTGTAAGGGACTTTTCTGACACTCAGAGTAGCTTCTCTAGCACGTTTGTGCCTGCTTTCTTCTACCTTTCCCTCTCCTTCCACCAACGTTTATAATTCCTTTTGGGGGGGTTGGGGGGTGGGAAGGGGGAGTTGCGTAGAACGGGAAGTTTATACTCAGTGGGAACAGGATTAAACCTCCATGAAAACAGCTCTCAGGCAACACAATACAGCACACACGTTCCTCAAAGGAAAGGCACAGATTTTCAAGAACCAGAGGGCAGTCAAGAAGCAAGACAATGTAGCCAAGTGAAGTAAAAGTGAAATCCAGCCCAATTAGCGGAAGTACTCTACGTGAAAATAAAGGAAAGAACAAAGCAAAAGAAATCTTTAATCAGTGCCATTTCAACAAAAAAAAAAATGTGGCTCAACATACTGCTTTGTCTCCCCCCAGGCTCTCTGAAGTCATATAACCATGCAAATCACTAACTTGTGAGAACTAGCCAGTCATGACAGAAAGCATAACTATTTCTGTGTTTTGAAACTGTGCATTATTCATCACAAAAAATGAAAGGAAACAGTAAGTTTTCTTTTTTTTTGGCTGATGATTTAATTACCTTTGCAGAGCTGAAAAACTTAAGAGTCTTTCTACATGTGTCTCAGGCTGGAGGTCCCTCTTCTTCAGTGAGTGTTGCTGGATACTAGACTGAGAAAGGATGTCATAGTCTGAAAGCATGGATTCAACCGTATCTGAAAGAACAACAAGGAGAGCTGTATTGTTTCAAAAGCCTCTCACAAACGCACGCATAAAGCAGCAAAAGTAATAGAGCATCCCAATTCAACAGCAAGAAGATCATAATTCGCTCTAATTTTAGAATAACTATTGTACGTTTAATCACAGCACGAGACAAGATATGGTCCGAGAGAGAAAAAACAAACAATTTAATTCACTCCCTATATCAACTTTAGGGCAACCAAGTCACCATTTCTATTGCTACAGCTGTGCAGAGCATATGCCCTCCCTGGGTACCTCTTGGAAACGAGATGAGGGAGAACATTTCCCATTTCTCCAGAATGAATCACTCTCCCTATTCATCTGCTGTTTCTCATCCGAATCTGAGGAAGAAAAAAATTTAACTCTGGAAACTTCTACCAAATTCAGTGCAGCTCAGGACTGAATTTATTACCTTTCCACCCCACATGAGCCAGAAAATAGATGGTTGCACGGCTCACTCAAAAATAACTGGCCTAGCACTTCATACAAGACATCTCCTGGAGCCCCCGTCTCCCAGGACGTTACCTCCCATCATACAGAACTCCCTTGACTTCCTCATTCAGGACATGAAAACTTGTTTAGGGGAGGGAGATCAAGAGCATGAAACCGCAGGGGGAGTTGCACAAAAATTACGAACTCGGGTCAATATTCTGATGCTGCTGCCACAGCTCGCAACTGCACAAACACCTCCGTCAACCTGTATTCGCTCTTGCTGATAAAGCCTCCAGTAGGTCTCTTAGGCAAGGGACAAGAGAAAGGGTTTAGCTGTGCCTTAATCAACAATGAACCCGTCAGCGAGAGAGCTGCAACTGCAAGTGCCAGTCTCCAGCTCTCTGTCAGGGGCAGATGCAAGGAACTAAGAGTTGTCCAACAAAAAAAGGCCAAGAACTAACAGGGGGAGGAAGAGCAATATAAACAGACAGGAATAGGCCTAACAGTCATATACAAGAAATTTGACATAAAGGATAGGCTGCCTTCTTTCTTTTATATTTTTAAGCCAGCCAAGAAGTATGATAAGGCAAGGTGAAACCATGGCACCCGGTACAGACAAGTCCCCTACAAGGAGCGAGCGGCAACCAGGGGCACTTGTTATTTGGCAGGAGAGATTTTTTCCCCCGCCTCAGAGAGAGTTAATAATCACAGGGCCAGCTTTAAGGCGAAGCTGCCAGCAGCCAGACCTCGAGCAAGCTTGCACGCCTTGCGCCCCAGGGCCAGGAGCACGGGGCGGCGGGTCCCCGCGGGGCCCGGCGTCCCCCAGGGCAGGGCCCGCCGCGCGGCGCCTTCGCGAGACGCCTGCTCCCTCCTCTCCTCGCTGCGCTTCGAGGGCACGAGCAACCTAAAGCAGACACGACAGCGCTACAGAAACGGGCTTTTATTAATAAAAGATGGCCTTCCGTGGTTCTTCAGGGCCCCAGACCACTAGCTGGCATCCACCTAACCCCACACGCTTTACTTCAAAGCGAGCAACGCCACGAGCAAGCCGAGTTTTACCGGCTCTTGTGAGACAAGCCAGGATTGCTGAGCTGAAATGTAGATCGGTGTCGCTCCCAAAATAACTTTAAATATATATTTTCAAAGCTGAAGCTGATACTTACTCCCAAACACATATCTCAAGGCCCCAGAAAGACTTTAAGACACCTATCACAACAACTTCTTCTTCTTTTTTTTTTTTTTTAAATACAGATAATCCTCCCCACTTTCCCCCCACCCTGTATGTGTGCGCGCGCGTGCGCGCAATGAAGGTGGAAAAGCTGAAGAAACAAAGCAGCAAGCACCTTGCATCCCCTCGGTGCCGCAGCCAGCACACTGGCAAGGCCACATCCTCCCCAGCCGACGGCTTCCTGATCAATACACCAAATACGTGCAGAAGAGCCAATGCACCAAGCGGGTGCGTTTGCTCGCACCAGAAGCCACAAAGCAGCCGTTCCCAGGCTGCTCCCTACCGAGCTGCCCCTCCCCAGCTGTTTAGCAACACAGGAAGGGCTGTGCAGTTGCAATTTCCTGATTTCTGTTTACAACCCACAGGTTGAGGGCACCTGCGATTGATCACCGTGCGTTTCAGGGTATATGTGAAAGCAAGCCTCCAACACCTTCCTCGCGCTGTGTTTTTCCCCTGGTGTGGCAAACTGCTACCTTCAAGGCAGTGTCTTGAGCATCAGCTTGCTGCACACGGCAGAGCTGCTTCACAGGAGTCATACAGTGCAAAAACACCTTAAAAATACACCCCCCCCTCCTTAAAAAAAAAAAATATATATAACTCACTGCTTATCATATCGCATCTTCTCTCATTCAGACCCACTTGGGAGGGGGGAAGGGACAAGCGGGGAGAACGAGTTGTGAAAAAGCTCGTTAAATTGTCTAGCCCTAAATTTTTTAATTAAATCTTAAGATTCTTTCACCACACTCAGCTAAAGCAGACCCCTCAAGCAGCGTGAACGCTGATCTACAGGACACCGAACGTCAGCTCACGATAGGGAGCAGGTGCGTGGTGCGCGGGCCATGAAGCGAGCGGTCCCATGGCAGTGCTGCTCAGGGACTCGCTGAGCACCAGGTCTGCCCGAGGGGCACAACCCCAGCTGCCAAAAAACTACTTCTGCCGCTCACCAGCCCCGTATGCAAAGTACAACTCCGCACCAGGGGAAAGCCATGCTAAAAAAGCAAAGGGCAGCTGCCGCCATGGCGGGGCAAAATGACTCATGTCTTGGTTTCACGGCAAGAGACCTGAGAAGTCTGCTACTGAAACTAGTTTTTTATTTGGTAAGCAAAGGGAACTTCAGAAGTCCTACCCCACCTCAACATGCACAAATACCCTTCTGGAACTGCCTTCCAGAGACACAGGAAATAATAACAAGACCTGCAGAGTTGATGAAGATGAGTAAGAGGACTCTGCTAAAGTAACAAACGAAACAGGACACTCCTAGTTCCTGTAACACTGAAACAAGAATGCACTTGTTAATATTTCCTCTTACCCTTCCTGAATTTGTTTGCTTTTAATTTTACTTGCGACACTTAATTAGCTTTTAAGACTTGCTGCTGCTGGACACAAATCTGTAAACTAATTCAGGTATTAGACAGATGTAGGAAAAAAAAAAAAAACCAACATGCAATGGTAGCACACTAAAACCAAAATTTTTCCACAGTAAATTTATACCGTGAAAATGAATCCATGCTCATGGTTTATTCAAAATAAAAGGTGAAGAGTCATTATTTTAACAAAAATACAGAGCTGTACAGAGCCCAACTGTACAGCATGGATGGAAGCCATAGCAATCAAGTACTTGACTTCTTTTTGTTCAAATGTAATAACCTTTTTGGCATTCCTTCTTCATTATCTTCACTGTGGTCCAAGAGTCATTTCCCCTGGGTTTCTACAACACAGAGCTGACTTAGGTTTTCCCAAACCGCTTTCCTGTGGTTCCTCCCCTTCCGTCCTCTCCTAGATTTTTGAATTCTTCTCTTTTTGGAGGAAGACAGCTTAATTTCATCTGCTATCCTCATTAGATGTTCCTTTTTCTATGACAGCCAGTCTTTGTCCCTTTTGCACCCTTTTTTCCTGGGGGGGGGGGAACCCCAGAACTTCAAGATATTCACAGAGGCACTCAGTTTATAAGAGAAGCAGAGAAAGGAGATGGGTGACCAAAGCAACACTCCAAAGTCCTCAAGAACAGATCCACAGCAGTGACTTCTCATCTGCTTACAACTCTGAGATGACCAACTATTTCCTCCTTTTCCATTACCGTAAATCAAGGCTAAAAGCAAAACCAGACTTTTAGTATCACTAGACTTCACAATTAGACTTCGGTACAGGAAAGTAACTTTTAAGTAAATTACATGCCAACACGCATTGTGTCTGACTACTCCATCAGCAAAAAACTCCAGAATGTGCTGAGCAACAGATCAGGTCACTGGAGTCAGAGGCCACTGCGTATTTTTAACGGAAGAGGTTTTTCTCCAAGTATTCAGCTACCAATTGAAATACCAATGGCATCTTTCTCCAACCATCTCAGCTTTCACAAGCAGAACAATAAGTTCCCATGGTCTCGCACCCAATCTATTGCCCTGAAGGCAATAAGTAAGATGTGGCAAATGAGCCATTTCATAAACAACATTCTTACGAATTACATTACCTATATAAAGATTAAGCTTGTCTGGAAGCATGAAATTTTAACCCAGAAGATGTAACTAACATTTTTTAAAACCTCTTCAGGGTTATTGATGATAGAAAACATTTCTACTTAAAACCACAAAAATCTAACAATATTTTAAAATATTACTTTCAGGAATTAAAAGTGACCACAAGGGTATCACAGGAGTTTACAGGAATTACTATGGCTATTTCTCCCACCATCCCAAAAGGAATAAAAACGGAAAAAAGTCTTGTGTGGAAAGAGATGACAAGCCTGGAGACAGCAGTCCAAGAATAAGCACAGCAAACACACTACGGGAGGAGTCTGCTCTGTGACTGCCGAATCACACAGCCAAGTCAGAAAAAAGCGTTCTTGCCCCTATTTCGTGTGGCGCTCACTGAGTACAACCTGGGTACTGAGCTCCAGCTGCTTCCCAGTGGATATCATACACTCAAAAGCTTGTCAGCTGCTAATTAATAACAACTTATTCTGATTTAGTTGGGGAGTGACTGAGTGGTTGAAGGGCTCCATATTCTTCACTAAGTTTTCAAAAGATAGTCTTCGTACATAAAAAATGTTTGAATTTAAAAAAAGAGAGAGAGAGAGAGAGAGAGAGAGAGAGAGAGAACACACACAGCCACTTCAAATACTACTCATAATTGAAGTCGGAACTGAGACCAGGAAACAAACTGGAATCTAACCGTAACCACATGAGTTAAAGCAAGTCACCGTCACCCTACGTAAAAAAGCTGCACTTGTTTGTGATACCAGCAAGTTACTATTTGCAATACAGCAGTATTGTTTGACCGAGATCACCGTTCCTGCGAGCGCTAACGGAGGAGAAGGCCAGTCAATTCACACCGGAGTCAGATATATAAAAGGACTTTGCAAGTCAGGAGGTGATGCAGTCAGGCCCAAATGTTTATGGATACCTCCTCTCAACAGTTTACATTGGTTTTAGGAAACTGTTACGGAAGAGGACATGATGAGAAGAGCCATCTGGGGGAAAGCTGTTTGCTACATGTGCTGTCACATCTTCCTCCAGTGCATCTGGTACCAAACCATTGCCAAAGACAGAAAACAAAGCGAACTGGAGCTCTCCAATCCTGTGCGCAAAAGCCCATACTTCCAGTGGCCTGGATACATTGCACGTATGCGTTTCCACCAAGGAGTCTGGCGTTGTTTTGCTCGGTGAGTATACGCAAACAGAAGAACCGGTGTGAGAAAGCAGTTCAAGCAAGGACTGAATACCTGTCAGAGGCTTATAAGACATAACAGGATAAAGTTTTACACTCTGTTTAAACATATTTCTAGACAAATTTGTTAGTAATACTGGCCAGCCACATTGGCGTTACTGAGTGTTTAAAAGGCATGCGTCTGAATTGATCCCAACAGCACCAAACTTGCTAAACCACATCAGAAGACAAAGTGCCTGGATGCAGTTAGTCACCAGCTCAGCGCAGACAAGGCCCCAGGGTGCAGTTACCCGGCCATCTCCCTGCAAGGTAAGGTAGGGTGCCGATTTACCCTGCATCAGCTGCTCTACCAAGCACGCTTTCCCTGTAGTGACACAAGGAAAGCTACTTCAGATTTACCACGGGTTCAGAAGTGCCCAGTGATGCATACTCTGGAAAAGCTAATAACCTGAAAAATACCCTTTAACTCATCTCAGAAAACACTTGTTTGTATAGCTATACCTTTACACTACTCCAAAATTTTCCCATATAGTAAAACGTTCACCTGTTTCCGGACAGTATGAATATTTCCTTAAATGTACAAATTCTATGTAGCAGAGACCATACACATAATTAAACTATTTCTGATTATTTTGGATTAGGTTGAGTATCCTCAACAGCTTCTCTTCCTGATTTATACATTACTTTACACACACAAAACTTTGCAAATTTTCTCCTTCACTAAATACAGCCTTAAGCAGACATCAGAGAAATGACACTTATGCAGTTTGATCTACTTGGTTTAATAACTCAGTCTCTGCCTTATTAGCGAAAGCAGAGAGCACTTTTTGAAAAGAGAATGCAATATGCTGCTCAAACATTGAAATTAAAAAAAATAAGGAAGCCACATGAATGATCAACCTCACATTCAAAGTGAAACCAAGGCAATACAGCTGTCTCATCTTAACCTAAAACGGCATCATATGACTTGATGAGCAACAACAAAAAAAAAGAAACAATAAAAAAAAATCACATGCTTTCACATATCCTGCAGACAAGAACGGCCAAGTCACAGGATGTAGTCTTCTTTGGAAGAAGTAATTTGTCTGGCTTTCCAAAAAACTGACAGCCTGACTACTAGGCTTACATACTACACCACAAAATCGTGCTGTTTCACAAAAAAATCTGAGTGGAGTAGATTCTAGGTAGGGACTAATTACAAAATGGGCTCCACTCGTGAGACCCTCCCCCTCAAATCTGACTGCATTTCTTCTCCTTTTGGATATGATTTTGGACTTGTTCAGATGTGGTCTTCCAAAATTCAAGGAATGTTGTAGGTACTAAAAGACAGAACTTTCCTTTTTCAGATTGTTACTGGAATTGTAAACTGGTCAATGTGGAGGATATCAAGTACTTGCTCAACCTATTAGCTGATGGATGGGTGGCAGCTATAGTGCCTCCCTGCATAATAATGGATCCTCCCCTCCCCTGTCCATGTCCCCGTTGAGTATAGTATATAATATTTTGGTAAGTATAAAGGAGGAAAAAAAGTGCAAATAACATATAGTAATAGCACCACAGGACAAGAATGGATACTGCAAACAGATGTAGGACACAAGCGACAGACACAAACACGGGCTAAAAAGTGTACAAGCTGCGGGCTAGCAAGTAGTATTGTCACGTACATCTGGGACGATGAAGGACATGAAGAAGATCAGATCCATGTACCGAGAAGGCCGCGGGAAATCCCCCAAACACACACACTGGGAAGTGGCACATGAAATTTGTAGGACAGAATGGCAGGATACACCACGTTCAGGCAAAAGGTTAACCAAGCGCCACGCTCCTTTCAACAAAGGATTTTTGCTCAGTCTGGGAAACAGGTAGACTCAGATTCCTGCAGTTCATAAAAAAAGCTGAAAAAAAAGAAATTCACCAGTTTATAACAGATGTTAAATATAAACTTCTATCTTAAATATAAATCTCTTCTGACTAGTAAATGTCCAATTAAATCCTGGCGCAACTTTAGAGTTCACTCAGGGGAACCCAGGCCTAAAAAGTCTGCTCTCCGTGTTTCCTTGCTCGGCCCTCCTAACCACAGGACAGAAAGCCACTGCTGGGGTTTTTGCACACAGAAGAAATTTCAGTTTTAGAACAGTGAAAATGAGATGAATCACTGCTGCCATCAGTGATGAAAAGCAGCAATGAAGCTGTCAGTTTTTACCGTGGGAGAGGGAAGTCGGGGGGAGGAGGGAACACCTCCACAACCAAATCTTAAATGCAAACAAGAATTTTACTTGTTGGCTACTTATAGGTCAGACCAGAGTGGTAATAGAAATAAAAAAAACACACACACCAACCAACCACCACCCTCCTCCTCACACTAAGCACATGATTATGTTGTCATTTAAAAAAAAAGAAATCTTGCAACAGTTAAAGATAATTCTTAGTAACTGGATTTAACCGTAGTCTTGACACATTTTTTTTTTTTTTTGCTGCCTTCGAGTACTTCTATCAGGCATTACAGTTTTATCACATTCTCTTATTTTTTTCAGTTGGACCCATTATGACAGATTCACATGAACAAGAGAGAAAAAAGAGAGAAATATACTTTAATACCTCTGCAGAAAGTACCTCTATAGAAGGTGCTAATGCACAATACAAAATTTTACACATTGATAATTTATTTACGTTCAATAAGGTCTTGTCTACATGAAGCATTTGCTACACTGGAGACCACATGTACAGAAGAGTATGTCTTTAGCACTCTGCTTGTAAAGACTCCCTATGAAAAACCACTGGATCCGCAAATGCCTGCCACAACTTTGAAACCACCGCGCAGCATCCTGGCCAGGTAGCACATGGTGCAACATTCTGCTATTTGTTGTTCGATTCTGGACTTTCCCCGTGTGGTACGCTGTGAGATACACAGCCAGGCTTTGGCATTTGGAGTTAAACTGAAGAACTAGCACAGCCTGAAATAGCCATGGTGCTTCACAGGATATTAAAAAGGCATAAGAAACAGAAACAAAAAGGCAGACTGTGCTAGGAAAACTGGTTACATTAAATCTTCCCTGTGAAGATAAGGCCTAAAATGGCTATCAAAGTAGCAGTCTGTAACATCACTAGGTTAAAAAAAAGATCCAAATAGAATTATACCTAGAAAGAATAGAAAGACTGCCTTTTACCTAGGTATTGCCTTGGTCTCTTATAGATGCTTCAGCCTAGAAGGATGAAGTTTAATCTCCTGTAAGGATTTTTTCACTAATTGTCTCACTGCACACTCTTGACACTGAAATAAACTTCCAACTCCGTAACCCTTTTACAGATGGTTAAGTTCTTGGCCTTAAAGACTTCCTGTGTTTTGCAACATTTAAGTGTGAAGCATAATTCAAAACCAACTGTGAATTGTTTTATGTCACCTTCTGTATCACGCAGCTCCTCCAGCTTATTCATCAACACCACTACCATTTTTTTCATCCAACAACTTGTAAATTCTAGTCTATTGATGTTTATTACAGGTTTGTACTGAATCATTTATACTGGGTCCTTTCTTCAGCCAATGCAGTTCACTGATGGTTGTGCATTGTAAAGGAGCAGTTTGGAGAATAAACAACTTAAGCCCAGGTTATCTGCTTCAGATTTTATTGGTGCAATACAGCAGGCTGAAAAAGACTACCAGTAAGTGATTCAAAGAATATATCAGCTACCCAGGGAACAGGAAAAAGCTGTCATTTATTTCCTTCAGTTCCCTACCTGGCTAGTGATAAAGAGATCTCTTCCAAAGCACATGATACTAGAATAAGACACATTTTACGTATAGCTAGACTATATTCTGGGCAATGCAGTTCCAGATATACGCTGCTTAGTGGCTGCACACTAGTAATATCACCGTGCTGTAAAACAGATTGAAGCACAATAAGAAAGTATCTTTAGATACAGTGATGCATTCAACAACAGTGAAGCTCGGTATTTGCACTGCTGTTCATTACAAGTACACTAAGCCCTGCTATCATTCAGATATGTCTAAGCTCCAAGACAAACAGCATTAATATTTAATACTTATAAAAGGTTATCTTAGGAGATAAAGGACAATAGGGAGAAAAATCTTCAGAATGAAAGTTGACATTAATTTTTCAAAGGTAAAACTATAATAACAGTCATTATAATGACTAGTACAGTCACATTTCTTCCAGAAGTGAATTCCCGCTGTTAATGTTACAACAGAGAGCTTGCCTTCAGATCAGCTAAAAAGCGAAATCAAACGGAGGTTGCCACTGTATTACACCTTCATCTTCCACCTTGAGCACCACCCCTGCCTCCTCCTTCGTGAAGGGCAGCTACCTGGAGAGTCACGCTGGGCTAACTCCAGAAGCTGACCCAAAGCAAGAAAACAAAACGCACGCACAGACACCCTACTCTCTACCAAGAAAAGGGTGATAACTCCGGTGGTTTAGCTCCACGAACGTGCCCACAAGAACAGGGACGGGATTCACAAAGCTGAAGAGAGGTGCACTGCAGTCCCCATTTATATCAGTTTAAACTGTTAAAGCACCACACCCTAAGATTACCCTAACTGAAAGATGCTAGGAAATGATCCACGTTTTTCCATTCAGTTAATCTATGCCTTGTCAAACTCTGTTCTTCACGGTATAATCATTTTTTTCCCTTGCTGAAAAAATGTACTTTTAAAGAAATAAGCAAGAAAGTCTTTAAAAGAAATCACTAAGGAATTGTCAAGAATTACTGCTTTAAGATATTGCTTGTCGTAAAGCTGAACTATATCAGTTTGTAGAACTCAAACTCCAGACTTAAACAGGACTCTCAAAACAAAGTAAGAGAAGCTATTAGAAGGAAAAAAAAAAAGATATTTCAGAGAACAAAGCTGCACGTAAAATGAGAAAATACACAACTCCAGCAAGATCACAGGAAAATGGGCAAAGTAATTTTGAAGAGTAGGCTGTAAATGGCATAAAACTAATGGTTGCAATAGTCTTTATTATATCAAAGGTAATAACTCAGCTAAATAATCAAGGGGGCTTGTCAAACAACTAAGGCACAGAGAACCCAAGAACGGATGCCAAAGGCCAATACCAAAAAGCAAAAGAATAACCGGCATTAGCATTCACTACAGACGAGGTTAAGGTTCCCCCAGCAAAGCTCGTCTTGATGGGATGAACCTAAAGAATTGTCTCCGGTTAAAGACTCAAGAGGCTCTAGAATAAACCAGTAAATCGGGCACTAAGTCACCAGTCTTGTCTGAATCTATTCACCCAAGAGTTAGAAAGCCCTGGAAGGTGAAATTGGGGAACTACTAATTCTGGTACGCAAATATGTGAAATTGGTATTGTTACAAGAGGAGAGATAGGTGGCAGGTGCAGCACCAACTTCCACAAGGGCTCCAGGCATGATCTAGGGAACCAGTCAACAAATACGCTCGACTTTCCTGCCTGACAAATTGGTGAAACAAACAGTAACCATAATTCATACTTAATTATTATTACTATTAGACCTACGGCTAAATAAGATACTAGGAAACAGTCTACATTACTTCCTCGAGAAAGTAGTGCCTCAAGTATTTATCAGCTTTCTGAAAGGATCGAATGCATGAATAAATGTAACACAGCTAATGGAGCGTACCTGGCTCTTCAAAAATTTGGACAAGCTCCCTCAGAAAATGCTTTTATAGATTCAGCTTACTGAATGACATACCAACAAAATGTTTGAAGAAATTCTGTACTAAGTGTGAAATAACAAGGAAAAAAACCTCATTGTATACGTGCAAAGGTTTTCATAACAGTTATTACCACTAAAAAAATTGGACTATTAAACAATACAAAATACCAAAAAATTACTTGAAGAGCCACCAAAAACAAAACCAAAAGCATTCATTACTATGCTCCTGTACAAATTCATGGTACCTTCATATCACAAATACAGCCTGTAGTCCTGGTCATACGTCTCAAAAAAAGATCCAGTACAAATAGAAAGTGTATAGACAAAGGTAACAAAGATGATTAAAGTCATGAAATTGTTCCTATACTAAGCATTATTATATAGACTAATATTTTAATTCAAACCAGACAAAGGAGACAAACAATACAGGTCTGTAAGCCATTAAGAGTGTGAGGAAAACAAATAATCATCATTTCCGTGATTAAAAAAAAACTATAGAATATCCACAGAAATAATCCAATTTTAAAAACAAACAGAAGAAAGAAGTTTTTCCAGTACTTAATTGAAAACCTCACAGCCCAGGCATGGGGTTATAAAGGCAAAGAGTATAAAAGCCGTCAGACAAGGATCACACAAATTCACACCAGGTAGGTCCTTCACACAAATTCACACCAGGTAGGTCCTTCAGAAGGTATAAAATGCGATGGATGAAGACGCAACCTCCGCTTTAAGAGGTCCCTAGCCCAGCTGAAGTGACAGGCTATGCCAGGAAAGAGATTCGTCATTCGTTCCGTTTCTGTTACGCTTCCTGCGGTATCCACTACCGACTCCTATCCTTACCGCTTTCCCGCAGCAACTGCGCAGAGCCGAGCTAACCTGGCACACGGCAGAGGGGCAGACAGCAGTACCTGCCTGCAAAACTGTCCGAGAGCCGCACAAAGAGAGGGCACTCGAAGGAGTCGCCGCTGGCAGCACCAGCTGGAGACAAGACATTGGAGGAATGGGTAATAAATGGCCGTTGCTTCTCACAACTCATCTGCCAGGCCAGCCGTGACCTTTAAAAGGCCACGGTAACGTTCGCTTTTTGTACGTTTAACGCATTTCGCTCAGTTTCAACCGCCAGGCTGCTCTAGCCCATCGCTTCCCAGTTCGCTCACGCTAACGCAACG